TATCCGGAATAGGGGTAGGAAGTAAGGTAAGGCAAGAATAACTCCTAATGACCCTATCCCACCATAGATAGCTCCATTTTTCCTTTATTTGCGTCTGAGGAGCTGATGCCAGAACAGCCCAGACCGCCAGAACGTGGATGGTTTAGTCGGGAAACCTATTGCCACACCAACATTTCTGCAACTTCGAATTGATTCCGATTCGTGCCAATCCCTGAAGGGCTCCCCTACGCTGAAGAGATCTTTCATTATTTTCTGGTATCAGTATGGGTGGTGTATCGTGGATTGTGGCGTTATGACAGATGCATTTGAAAAACCTCCGTTGTGTCGTGGTTCTATTTGGATCAGGTACATATCACGTGTCGTTGAGTGGCTACGACGTATTTGAAGAATTCAGGGGCGATAAATCATGGACAGAAGGAGAGGTGGAGATAGAGACAACGTTTATGGCGAGAAAAGCAGGTTGCTGATTGGATATCTCGAAGCAATTCAACCTTCGTTGACATTCCCGTCTGCTGTGAAACTGTCGTCTGTCCATGTTGATGATCGAAGCGATTTCACATATTAGCTGTACGCAATCTCGTCCAGTTGCCCTTATCGTATCCCTTAGCTGTCTGCCCGTATAATAGCTCTTTTATGAGTGATACAGTCGGGTTTCATCGCTTAATTTCTCTGGTTTTCGGTTGGTCAACGTCTCAGTTTTCGTGGTGAAGCCTATCATTTCAGGAAACACTCGTAATTTACAATAAGTTCTCTGTACCGTCATACATTTGGTCTCGTTTGTCAGCTCGGTCCGATTTCTCAGTGCTCACCATATCTTACTGTTTATAGTATCTAAAGTAGGTTGTACAGTCAGTCCATTAGTTCAGACGTACTATCAGTTGAGTAAAAAAAGACCAATATATTCAACCCTTAAAGTACTTTTAAAAAAGTCACACTGTACTATAATGTTAGTCTTATCAGTATGTTAACTAGTTACGGACTCATCGGTCTGATGATTAGGCGTTCGCGTCCTTGCTTGATTGCTACCGTACCCATTACCGAAGTTGAACTCTCCGCTATACTCTTAGCCGTTTTTCTAAAAAATTTTCAAATCTTTGACGTTATTTCTTTCTTGGATAGTAGTATTTGGGAAGAGTTGCTTGCCACAAGCGTTCCCCTTTCATCAATTGAAGGGAGAGCACCATCCAGGGATAGCGCCTCTACTGTCATGAACTCCTTGAGCCATTCTGTGGACCACCTTAGAATGGTCATCGTCGAGAGCGGAATGAGCAATCTATAGATCCACAGTAACACGTGATTGAGCCTAATCCCAGGCACCAAACTTAAGAATGGCCTCAAAAGTATGCTGTGAGTCTAATTTAGGTATCCACACACCTTGAAGTAGGATTTGTCGGCGAGGAAGGGTTAAAACTTCCACACAGAAAGACCGACAGTTTGAAATGGAAATGAGGGAGTATGGCGATTAAGCCGATTCTGAGAGGAGAGGGTTTGCACAAGTGCCAAATCGGACCACACTCAAAAAGCTGGCTTGCCTTGGCCTTTATAACGTTTTTGTTAATGTTCCAACGCAATTTTCCCAACGGTGACGACCACTACCATAGTCCCACTGGCCGTCGTCGTCGTCGTCGTCGTCGTTGGCCTTTCGTCACACCTGGCCGAGAAAGTGTAATCATACACGTCGTCAGCAATTACTGCTCGCCAAACAAAGCAACAACCCCAGCGCGCAGTGCCGGCCGTTCCGCCGGTCCACTACTACTCTCCCTGCACAGTCCATAATACTATCCATGATTAAGTCATCTCCCCTCCTTACCGTTTTATCTTCTAACCGTGTCCCTCTGACGAGGCCAGTGAAGTGAACCTCCTCATATTTTCATTTTTTGAAAGACTTTGTTTCCGATTTTGAAATTATTGACCAGGTAACTGGTCTTTTCGCCCTCCTATTTTTTTGATAAATATTTACAATCTCACTTCCCTATAGATGACAACCTGTTACCACGATACAAATACCTGTCAATATCGCAAATAAGAATACTATAAGACCAGGATCAGACATAATTAAGTCAAAGATTCAAAAACAAAGAGAAAAACATTCATTCCTGCCATCCCTGTTATCAAAACTGGCCTGATATTGTTGAAGAGTCTTTTCTTCCCTTCAACTGCAACTTTGAACTGGTGTCTTTTCCAATTTGAGGATTTCATTGATAATTCCTGAAGTATACCTTTATCGATCAGACCGACCCAATTGAAAACTGACGGTTCTTACCAATAAAAAATTGAAAAAAGCAAAATGTTATGAAAATTGAAAATCGGAAGACGTTGTTCTGTCAAGCGCTGTCGTCAAAGTTACTAAAGTATGAATTTTTCCCTACTTATAGCCCTGATTTGTCCAATTCCTACTCTGAATTTCCTTTCTATGGTCTATCCTGACGTGCGATCAGCGGTCTGGGCACTTGTGGATTCGAAACCAATGCTAAGCTATCAAATCACAATATTAGTTGCTAATGAGAGTTTTACCTCAATACAAAGATTGAAGATATAAGATATATAAATTGGAATCGTGATATGATAGGTTACCCATCAAAGTCTTGAAAATTTATTTTTCTTCAGCTCATTCCCCTAGTCACTTGCAATTTTCACATTTCAAAGCCTCAGGCGTATTTCATTGAAATATCTCTCGAATTTGGGCTACTGTCAAGTTGTTTTTTACGGTGGGCCAACAACTGTAGTGCCCGTGCATCACAAAAAATGTAAAATGGTCACCATTGGCTCGCTTTCTGAAAATACTCAAACCTTCAATCGTAACCTGTTTCCAATGTTTTTGAGTCAGAGTCGTTTTTTCAACCCGTTTTATTGTTTGAAACACCCAAGAACGATTTACATCGCTTCCGCCGTTCCAGTACAGCATATGAGAAGCAGTATATAATAAAAAACAAACTTCGGAGTGCTGATGGGCGGAAATCAGTAGCCGGTAGGTTGTCACCAAGTTGAGCCAACGATGTACTTGGGAGAGAGTATACCGTTCCCAGCTCATCCTTTACAAGGTGATCAACACCTCTATTTTCCTTGCCGGATGTTTATTTGCTTCTTCTCCATATTGTCTGCTACTTCAGAATGTTCTCTTTTCAGAATCCCCTGTTAAACTACGCTGCTGTATAGATTCATAACTCCCCTCTCTTCTACAATTTCAATACCTCAACCCCTGCTGCCGTGGCCCCTCCAATGGTGAGATGGCGGTGTTGGTCCCATTGTGTAGTAGCATTTCTATTTTGCTGTCCATCTCACGCCAGAGAAGTTCTCTGACAGCCCCATACACCCATCTAATGCTCAAATGGTGTCTCCTCAACCCAGTCCCATTGTCAGTAGGAGAATGGCATGTAATCCAATTAGAACGCTCAAATGGTTTTATGGAAATCGTTTTTTTCGACACCTACAAGACAATCGATATCGATGAGAATGGTAACTCCATCCCGAGAACCCGTTGGCATCCAGCAACACAAAACAAAACCGGTAATGCAGCCCGTAAAAATGATGTGCGCTATTCTGTCTAGGCGCCATTGAACGAGCCCCTTCCATTTCACCTATCAAAGGCGTACTTTTGTATTGATTACATGAATAATTTATAGGTTTGAATATAGCTCTGAACTTTAAATTGACCTCTGGCTAGCCCCCGATATTAGATCCTAAAAATATGTGAAATAAATATTTCACTGACGAACCTGATCACGAGTGAACTGAAAGTGCGAAGGTGGAGATGAAACAACATTCCGGGCGTATCGATCACATGTTCAGCAAATCTAATTGTCATCAACTATATAGTTTAGAGCCAGACTATGATTCATGACCTTTCTCCCAGTAGATACCTCTTCTTTGCCTATTCAGAACCTCTTCGTACGCACCCTTATAAGGCCCTAATACTTTCAGCTCATAAGGCTCCTACACAAATGACGTTTTTCATGTGATTTTGTGCTTATATATTATCTGATAATATTTTCCCGATCGCCTTCGCTTGAGAATGCTGGATCTGGTGAGGATTTCTCGACTGGCCCTCCAGTCCTCTGATCGCCAGTTGCCCTCTTTAAACCTCTACGTCAAGTCAATAACATATAGGTCGTCTCCTTTGAGTCCAAGAGAATAGAAGGGAAAGCTTTTTCCCTTGATCATCTCTGGTATCCGCAACGTGTGCGACTTTCTTTCAGATTGGCAGAGCTTTTCTTTATAAATTTGAACACTCAGTAAGTCTCTATCACAAAAAAATGTGTAAGATACCGAGTGGCCGTTGTGTGTAGTATCAGCCAAGTCCAACGGGGTCTTCGCAGATGGTCTTATGGAAGTTGGACGAACCGCTTTTCTGAAATTAGGAGAGTGCAAAGCAGTAAAATTCCAGAAATAACCAACTAGGAGTGTTTCCTAGGAGTATTTGTTTTTGTATCAGCTCTCGGGTAGAATCCTATTTTCGCAATAGACAAACCTCACGGTGACTTTCAGTAGTTTCATATCGCTGTTGGTTCCCTAAAAGTAAGGTTATTTTCCCAACCCACCCATCTGGCCTCTGTACTTATGCCGAACCATCATGAGTGCTACACTAACTCCTAAGGTTTCCATGACCGTTAGCGACTGGGAACTCTTTCAGTGGTCTTCGTTCCACCGCGGTGTTGACTCATGTCTCGTCGCTGTAGGAAAGGTTCCAAATTGGCGTTCCCCGAGCACTTTATTATGGAAACAGGCTGTCTATACTGCCTATACGTCCAGATAAGGGCCGTAAACGTTCTTGCAAGCTATGCTTCCCTGACCGAGACTGACATGCTTTGTTGGTGTTTCCTAGGGCTATCTCACCTACTACTCATGGAAAAATCCTTACCTTCAGTTTCACTTTTGCACTCCTCGCTCTGAATTCCCGTGATTTCTTTCTATCTCTACTGACTGCTCGGCTATTTCCTTCTGTTCTACGATTTTCAATCGCAGTATAAACAACAACTAAGTATGTTCTTTAAAGAGGAAACATGCCCGCCCACATCTCTCCAGAGCCGTTCTCGGAAGATATTATGGAAAAGGCAAGAAAAATGAGGTGGGTTCAACTGCTTAATAATGTCACAACTCTTAATCTGACCAGATTTTTTCCTAAGCCTCTAGCCTACTAACAGTCCCATCAATGACCCACCGCTCTGCTGCTTCCTTTGAAACTTTTAGTACTTGCGTCACTTGATACTCCGGTTTACCTTGACTTCAGATCAACGATACAGCTGCCAGCTTGCTTTGATTCACCGTTTTTCCTTGCACGATTCTTACGAGCTCATGGAGGAGATGAAGAGGTGGCCAGACAAAGAGTTGAGGAATACCTCAGTCACAGGTCAGCTCTCAACAACTGTGATTCCAATCCTGGAACGAGTTATCAATAGCTTTTAAAGGTTTGACCCCAAGACGACCCCCAGGGGAAGTACGAAAGTATGAAAAATAGCTTTTCGGTAATTCGTAAATTAAAAACAAACAGAAAACCAGCTTAACCAACTTATGATTCATTTTCAGTACAACTCATTGATCCTGGTTTCAACTACAGTTGGAAAACTTTTTTTTAGGCAAGTTCTCGGTTACGCAGGATGTAGCGACATGGAGATCTTCACAGAGTTCCCGATTGGGAAGGCAACTTATGAGGTAGACCCGTCTTTTTGTTTGTGAAACTCGCCCAGCCTACATGCCATCCTGAACCATAGGACGGAAGTGAAGTAACTCTGACTGTTTTGCAAGGGATTCCTTCATACTACAGACCTAGGAAAGCTAAAAGCTGGATAGATGGGAGCGAATGGATTCATTTTCAATTATATCCTCAGTAGTTTACATAACTGGAGCCGGACAAACATGATTGCAACCCAGACGACTTTACATGTTACCTTTCAGTTCTGTTTTACTTATTGGCTGAGTTCTAAAATTGATAAACTTTAATTATTTCAGCGGTTCCGTATATCACTGATGAATCGTTCGATTCTTTCCGGCGACAATCATGTATTCGTCCAGAAAATGGAGGGAACCGATCTGAAAGAGGTACAGATAACTTGAAAAGTCTTTGAATGATCCTTCGCCATTTTGATTTTAACATTCAATAAATAGCCAGACACAAGCAAGTAATTAGTTTCTTCAATTTGGAAATCACAGTAAACAAAAACACAAATATAATGGTTCACTTGCGTTTCCAACAGCTGTTCCAATTGTGCAAACCGCGTTTCAGATAATGAAAGTGATTCCACTGTCGTACGTGCTTCATTCATACTACATGCTTCACGACATATTTGGACGTGCTGTTGCTGAGACCGAGAAGAGAATCGGTAACTCTAGAAATACTTATTGATTTTTTGCCCTAGGTATGGAATTTGATCAAGGAGTTTAGTTGCCTGTTTCAAGTATCGGATATTAGACAAACCAACAAATCGTCGGAGCTCTCTAGAACGCTCCATGTTTCAATGCTTTCTTATGAATATGGAACTCAGTCGAAGTTACAAATTGAGAGTTCTGTATTCTGTACTGGCTCCTAGGAATAAACTGCTGATAGAATGTTGTGCTGAGGGAACGAGGGAGGAAGTAGTGGGCCTTCTTATGGATCAACACCGAAGCTACATACATGCTTCAGTAGGGTGAATCTTGCTATAGAAATTTTAATCCGTCTGTCTCAAACATGACATGGGGCTAAACGTGTTTCGAAGCATTTATCAGAACCTGTTCCTGTCCACTCAGTGAATACAGTGAGTCTTCGTTATATGTAGGTACATAGGGTTATCAGAAGAGAGGTCAGTCTGAGTCATTTAGAGAGGTTGAGTACTCTGAGGACAAAGAAAACTAGTAGAAAAGGTCAGAAAGCTGAAGGACCTTGGGACGGACGTGGTGTTCCCATTAATACAATATCGAAAAACGTCTAGAGGTCTCTCAGAGTAACCCCTTCAGTGCTCCATTCCATCGTCAGTGCTCTTTGCGAAATCGGGCATTCCAGGGCGCCCTTCTTCTGTGGTCACTATTCTCGATCTGAAAGGTATGAATGTAAGCGACTTTCTGAATCCACTCTCAACTCATGTACAACTTGCTCGCCTGGTCGTCAAAATCTGGTCGGAGTACTTCTGTGAAAATGTGAGCATTACTAAGTTGGAGCGGATCATTTTTCCCTTTCATCCTTACATAACTTTTTCCGAATTTATGTTATCCCATCTATCAAATATTCGTTCACTTCCAGATGAGCAAAATCCTGATCATCAATCCTCCCGGAATCATGTCCATCATGTTCAAAGTAAATTTTTTTCGGTTTCATACCTGTTTTATCAAATTACTCGTAAGCCTCCAAGATAGTGATGATGGTGTAATTTGCCATTTCCTTATTCAAGCAGAAATAGGACTTTGAAAGCTTTGGTCTAGAGTTTTCCCAGCTGTGGAAATTTAATTTGAGTCAGGATTTTACTGAAGATTTGTATTGTTTTCTCTGTTTACTGTTGTTTGTTTGTTTTCTTGCTCTGCAGATGTTTTTTCTGGCTCATAAGGATTTCGAGTTCAGATCTCAAAATTCGTCATGGATGCTCGAACATTCAATCGTCTGTCGTTCCTTGATAATGTGTCCGATCTACACAAATATCTTGAGCCACATGTGAGTTTTTCAAAGTATTTTTGTAATTTTTTACCGTATTTTCAGTTTCTGAGTCATTTTTCATAGGAAATCCTAGAAAAAAGTTACTTTTCGAGAGATTATTGTGAAACTGCGGATAGTGGTGCCATAGCTATAGCTATAGCTAAGCTATAGTAATTGGCTTAAGTATTTGTGAGTCTCGATATTACTGTAGCAAACATAAGTCAGATCCTTCTAAGAAATTCATGAAATATGTACAAGACAAAGTAGGCTTTGGAATGATAGCCATATTTACGTATAACTCTAATATATGAATTTATATCATCTGAAAAGGCAAAAATCGTTTTGAAGGCGATTCCCGTGGAGTACGGTGGAACATGGCGTGATGACTCGGGCTACTCCAAGCCACCAGAGGGATGCACCCGTCCGCATGTACCCGTTACAAGTGATCAGTACAGAGGGGTCAGTTCCTCACTTATCGAATTTTTGAAAATCCAAAACCTAAACGGATTCAAACGCTTCTGATTCAAAGAGTATTGAGTACTGTATAGGCCGATGATGTTTGGAGTGATCATGGAATCATCAAAATACCACCGAGTAAGACGTACAACATCAAAAGTCATCAATCTTGCGAAATTGTTCGGTGAGCATCAGATTTTTAGAAAGTCAGTCCGTTGATAAAGCCTCGATCTTGAGTGGATTCTTCCAGAAAGTGTACACAACCTGGTCGATTGATTTGGAATTTCACCATCAGCGGTGACGTCGAGTTTGAAATTGTACGACGAGAGGCAGGAAAGGAAATTAAAGTTTGGCCAAAGATCACGTTGACAAGTTTGAAGGTACTTATAGGACTGATTACGATATGCTTGTGGATAGGATTTTTGAAAATTTCTTGCAGCTACCCGATTATGGAAGTGTGACAGTGATACCGGGCGAGTATGTTCTTCGATTCACTAATCCGTCTTCAACGTGGTTCGCAGTTAAAGTCACGGGAGCGGCTGAAATCAAAGCCGAATAACAACGCTAGCTTTTCATATACTGGTTATTTACTTATTACTATTGACCCCATTTCATATTTTGTAGTTCCCCATCGCTCAAAAGAGGGATTGTATTGAGGCACACTTTGTTGACCATATACGGAAGGGTGAAGTTGACCTGTCAGGCCCATAATTTTTGATGATCTTTGGTAATCCTTACTTATCCTTAAAACAGAATTCATGGGCCTATCATAGTCTTCAGAAGGTCCCGTCTTTAGCCTTCGTCAGGTAGTGACTTCAAGAAGGGCCTAATCAAGGCCTGGCACCAATTGTACCGTATTCTCTGGCTTCCAAAGTTGGTCCACGAGGCTGGAGGTGCTATAGTCGGAGATTTGTTAGTTCAGTCGCTGGAAATATTTTTTGTGATTTCTTCCTATATAATATTTGATGGCCATTCTGATAGTCTTGGCGCATACCACTGAGCTCATGACCTGAGGCTTGAATTTTCTCACCCTGAGACTTGAATTTTCTTATTTTTACCTATGGATGCAGATCGTTTACTAACGAAATCCTCCATTTTCACAAGCAAAAAAATAGATTTTCATCCTCATTCTACCTTATTCTGTGAATCTGAGTTTACCGAGCGAATCTGAGTTGATATTCCATGTTAATGATTCCACTACAATTACTTTGTCAATTTGGATACAGATTGTATAGCTATTTAGTGATTACTTATCCCATCCTTATGTATGTACATTTTATGCAGATATCGTGATATAGCCGATAGTTTTCATGATGTAATAGTGACAGATTTGATATGTCGTTTGTGTGCATAAAACATTTATTATAACCTGTTTTTATCAATTGGTAACAACAAATTACCCCCGCCGACCGGAAAGTTGTAAACGATGATGAGCTCAATTCGCAATAACTGACTCTACTATTTGAACGTTTAGAGGATCGCAGGAAAATGAGGTTTCCCTAAAAATCTCGAGATATTAAGCCTTCGTTGCTAAATTTTTTGGGGTCAGAGAAGGTCAGATGTAGGAGCAAAGCGAATGTTTGGACGAGATTTCGTCTTCTCCGGAGCAGAATATGTTAGCCTCTGGCAAAACAAAACATGCTTAACTTCGAATGATAGCAGAACTGTTCAAGGCACAGTTCACAATAATTTTAAGGTACCTTTATTATCCGAAAAGCGGAAGTATAGGTTGGGAATAGTTCATCAGTGGTGAAGCAAGAGAGCAAATTCGCCGATTTCGAGAAAATTATAGCCCCCTAAAAGTAGGGAAATTGAGGTTTGACGAGGTTAATATGACGGAAATAACATGTAGGGGTTATTCGGACCAGATTTCAGTCCTTGAAATCGCGCAAAGACCTGACTACATCGTGATCGATGCAGCCTCTACAATGCCGGTGAAACTCGTCCAAGGACACACATGGGCCAACCATCGAGCTTTTATAACTCCCTAAATAGGCCGTTTTCCGACCTATAGTGCCAGATATGGTATGCGCGAGGGCCTCGAATCCATTCTATCTGGAAATCTCAGGAACCAATTTTATCGTGAACTGTTCTTTTAAGCAGGCCTTTTTACGAACTAATGAGCAGAGAAGGCGCATTAATGTTCTTTGGCCCCTGAGGCGTCCTGTAGGATTCCTCCGATGGAAAATCTTCAAAGGTAATTTTGTTGCGAACGGTGCCTTCGACTGTGAGTAGCAGCCCATTGTTGTTCCTCGACGTACCACACAAAAAGGCAATTCACACAGGCTGAAAAATTGCTGAGCTCCCTTCGTTCTACTGGAAACATTACCTAGAATCCTGGAAAACTATTCAATGGTACAAGTGTTTTTAAGAAAATATGCTCACAAGTGCAACCTGCAGCTGCACGATCCAAGTGAACAACAATGCAGATTCGGTGAAGATTCTGAACGATTTTCAACGACGGCCGTTTTTCGGGAACTTTTAATAAATAGTCATAGTTTCCTACGCCTCACTGTTGTTTTGAAGAGAAAATCGAGGAGAGAAAGGGTAGTCCAGCATTTCCACATCTATACTCTGTACCGGTACTCATACACCATTGGGTCGTTGTCTGGGAAAGAAAGGCTTTACACAAAACAACTTGTGTACGAGTCATTAGGTCTATTGCGCGATAGTTTTTCACTGACATTTCCGGGTTCTCAAGAGAGAAGATGGGCTCTTCACTTTATACCAAGAGTACCTGCCTCGACCGTCTAGGGGTCGATGTATCCAATGAAGAAAACTCTCAGACGAACAAGTTCTTATTCAGCTGCGAGACTGAATCAACACAAGGACGCTCTTTATAAGCGGTCCGAAGGCTTACGCTGAAGACAATGTCAGTGGCCAAAATCACTTCCCTGATAATCTTCAGCTCTTTGCTGGGCAGGTAAATTGATCACTTTCCTTTTATTAATGATTTACAATACTATATTCAACAAGAATTTTTCGCTAATAAGTTCCCAGCTCTTGTCAGAACTACCTGATTTCAGCGCCCACGCCGGGGGTTACGCGCTCCCACCACCTCCACCAGGTACCATTACAATTCTTCAATTCTTTTCGAACTATTTTTCGTTAGGCTATATAACTCCGACTGTATTTATTTGTTGTGATTGTTTCTTGTTCCACCTATAATCCCATGTTCCAGCCTACGCAGTGCCACCTATGCCCTATATGCCACCACCTCCTCCAGTGGCTTACGTCCCTCCGCCGGTGTACGTACCTCCTCCTGTCTATAAACCTATGCCACCTCCATATGTTCCACCACCTATGCCAGCTCCATATGTTGCACCACCTATATATAAGCCTCCCTTCGGGCCATATCAATCGCCACCGTATGCAGCTGGAGTTCAGGCCGTTGAAGCCGTTCAGCCGGAAACCGCTCCCGCTCCACAAGTGCCATCGAACAACCTCGAGACCGAAATGTCAGAAACGTCTGTGAGTAGAAACATGAAATAAATTTAAAAATCTTCAGATCTGTTTACTTTTCGAATTTTATCGCGATTTTAAGGAAAATGGATCACCATCGTTCCGGGCTCAATCAGGTGGATCTACTAGAAATCGAGGTAACTAATTTCTTCGAGTACATGAGCCAAATGAGGAAGAAATTGAGCTTCTTATCGTCAATATTTACAATTTCCTTTTTGAAGAAGCAGCCGTCAACAATCCATCTTCATCGCTTATCGAGATGAACAACTCATTCGCCAGGCCTTCGTTCAGTAACTTCCTCAAGGATGACGGAAACGGTAGTTTTGAATTCAAAAAAAAGACGAAAGTTTGAAAAGAATGGGCGATTCGGGCAAGGAGTAGTTGATGTGTAAAGGGTTAATCTTCTTTCAGTATTCATTTCAGTCTACCAGCCCCTGATGTTAGAGGAATTTCGAGGGCTAGCTCTTTTCAGGCTCTTGAAGGAGTGCTTGTTAGACGATGCTCCCAGCTCCCTCAGTTTCGTTTCGAAAACGGCATAAAAAGCTAGTTCTTTGTACAGCAATGCTAACCTTCTGTGTATTAATAGTTGGGTCCCCACCTCAACATCCCCAAGCAGAAGCCGAGCGGAGCACTGAAGGTTGAATAAGCGCTGTGGGAATGTCCCTGAATAGCTTTAGGCAACAGAGAGAACTGCACAGAAGTACTGCCAATACTTTTTATCAGCAGCCTTCTATTTTGCCGTCGCCAGATTGAGTCGAGTGCGAATTGTGAACTTGCATAGCAATCTATTATATTAAGAGACGTTACCACATTGAAAACCCTTATTAGATATTCAATTTTACAGAAAATACAGGCGGAGCTGAGAAGAATTCACCTTTAGTGGGCACAAAGAGATCCATAAGTAGCCCAAAAAGGAGCAATGCTCACATCAATAGTGGAGCGACCGAGAGGAGAGCATCACGTTTTAGCAGGGCTGAGTCTAAGCCGATGAACTCTTGAAGGCTGCTCAGTCTGTATCTCTCGAAAGAGTTCTATAAAAAATGAAGTTTGTAATAAATGAAGATCTACCTGAACCGACTGTTTAACCTACATGTCAATTCGGCCTTCTGGAACAGATTCATATCTGCTAAATTTCTGGTGCACATCGTTGTTTCTGTGATCGAAGTGTTTTTGAGAGATTGTGCTCAAAAAAGAAAGACAAGTAGAGTAGGAAACACAAGACGAAAGGCTGATTCTTTTGATGAGCCATGAACTCGTCCTACTCCAACCAAAAATGCCAACGGGTAAGATAATAGGCGTTTTAGGGATAGATCTGATCAACCTGATTGGTCTAGCTTACCTCTTCCAACAAATTGTGATTCTAGAGGGAAATGGCCACCATATGTGAGGCCACCTCGTTGAAAAAAGAATAATAGGGAAATCATAATGAAGGATTGGTGTTGCTCCTGAATGCTTTTATTTTATCAAGCTTTTTCACATACCACACACATAAAGCCCGAAAAATATGAACCAAGATACTACTGTAATATGTGTGTATATACTCTCGACTGGTTGTTGACCGCTGCAAAAGTCTTTGAGAACAACCACTCTCCTTGCTTCAAGCAGACACACGGACCCATTGTCAGCCCCATCTGGAGCCTCTGTAAATGTGAGCCGTTGGAGCATTGTCAAGTGGTAACTGCATCCGTTGGATGGTTGTTGTTGTGAAGAGAAAATAATTGCTTTCGAAAAAACAAAACGAACATGAAAACTAGTTGTGTACATGAGCTTATCAACTCATTAGAAGTGGAACTTGCTCGACGGAATGCTTTTCGAAGAGGTGAAAGGAAAATGCATCAAGTCTTTCTGAATAAGCAGTTTCAAATCATGTTCTGGAGTGTTAAGGGTGCACGATTAAGGCTTTGTCGGAACTGCTTGCACCGTGAGGAGAAAACTTCATTCACTATTGGAAATGTTCAGATTTCCTTGCAGCCCTTACTGGAGCGATGGAAGACTGCCTTCGAAACGCTCTTGACAAATACTCGTTCATGGTTCAGGATGTTTTCCTTTCTCACCCTCAGAGACCCTTGGACAGCACTCAACCTTATGCAAAAACATCGCACTTTTAAGGTTGTTCACCGGAACAGGTTCGAATGTTCTCCATAAGGAAGCTATGTAGTGGCTTCAGTTGTGTTTATTATGACGTCATCTGAGTAAATTCGCCCAGTTCTCACCTTGAAGTATGGATTCGTAGCTTATACAGTTTTTATAATTTTATTACTACTGGAGTGGTCCTGGACGAACCACTGCAGTAGTAATAAAATTAGAAAAAACCAACTGCATTCCAAAAAATTTGTTAAGACCCAGGGAATTCTTGCTTTATAAGTCGTTGAGCCTTACAAATGTATTCTTGTATTAATCGCCGTACGCTGCAGGTATTGAATAAGATTAAAATTGAGATATAGAGAGGAAAGATGCTAGAATGTATTCTTAGGCAAAACGTTTAAAAGCCTGAGATTTCTCTTCAAGATGAGCCTGTGGCTTATAAGGATAACACAAGGGATAGCACAAGGGACTGTGTTTCGCAGACGTGCACTCTCACAGCGGACGAGTTCCTACGCCATTGTAGAAGCATCGGGACGCACACATTGCAAGCAGGCAGCTGCACCCAGCTGTACGCGCTGGCCCATACAATCAAAAATCTCGTCCGAATATCCATCCTACGGAAGATTTGTTGTCAGATTCTCATTCACTTTTCGAAGGCTTGCATTTTCAAATATGTCGCTTTTCGCATTTTCTTCGCCTTTTCACACAATTCTGGACAATCCTTTTCACAATCCGCAATCAGGCAATCAGCTAGATATCAGAAAAAAAANAAAAAAAAGGCGCCTTCAAAACATTGGAGTGGAAAAGTTACTATAAATCGTGGTGTTAGTAATACTGCAAAAATTTTATTTAAACAAAATCATCCGCAAGAATGTTACGATCATCATAGAATCCGTATTACAAAATCCTATTTTAAATAGCTACGGATATTGCTTCCTTGTCACTTACATTCTTGACATGAGACGAGTCAAAGTTACGAGAAGTCGAATGCACGGCACGACCAAAACATCCGCTGCACAAATAAAATCCCTTTCAACTTGGAAAATTATCCACATGGGCAAATAATTAATAATTAATTAATAATTGGGTGTATTCAAATAAATAAAATAAATAAATAAATACCTCTCGGCTTTAGGTCCTTTTAGGAATCGAGTACTTTCTTCGAACTTTACGGGACAACACAATCCGTTAAAAGTGGAGGTCATTAGAAACTCAAACTGTTCAAACACTCCACTGCCACAGCAGTTTACGCATTTACTAGAATGGTTCTGCCATCGCGTAATGTACTACAAGACCAAACAGAGAACGAGTCAGCCGCATTAGTCCCCCCCCCCCCCCTCTCCTCCTCCCTCCCCTCAAACGTGGTTTCAGAATCTTCACAAGAAATACCGAAAAAAATCTCAAGAAGCAACCGGATCCACAACTCTGTGTTTCTCGAGTCTCACGCCCCTCCCCATTGCATCTTCAAGACTCTTACGATTCCTCATTCATCTAATAGAAAGGCGCTTGTAGAGTAGAAGGGCCAAAGAAGTTGGAAGGATGATGACCTTGTTGAGCACCCTTAAAAAACTAGTGTGGGGACAATGTACTTGATGGTTTTTTTATCGAGGAATGTGTAAAAGGCCAGGTATAAATGCAAATTTCGTCACGACATTAGCATCCTGTCATAATGCTCAAGTGCAGTTTTCATCTACTCTTTTTGGCTTCGTTCGTGCAATGGTTAGTCTTTCGTTAAAATAATTACCAGAATTGTTTGAAAAAAAGCTCTAACCTATACAAGGTGTATAACACCCTGCGTAGAGTAACACGTATCCGCTCACCAAATTTGTGAACGTCTCCCCCAATTCTTATGGCCTGCACAGTGCTTCCTCGGTGACTCTCCGCATTCTTCGTTTGAGAAATCAAACCTTTCCCTTCATAGCGCGCGATCGCATGCGGCGAGAGCGTTACGCAGTTCGGGGAGGAGTTGCCAGATCCCCAAATACCTAATCATTTTTTTTTGTCAAGCAGGGCCACCCAGTGGGAGGATACCTGCTATTTGATCTCGAGTCTTGGACTCTGGTCAACTTCTTCAATGAAATAAATTTGAAAGCTTCCAAATCGTGAGTTAATCTACCTAGCTCCTCTTTTTCCCTGTGATCGGTCTCCGCACACTTTCTGAATGTGCAGCGACCGAAGCCTAGGATTTTCCTGGGAGTGAGATTCTAAATGGAGTCATTAGCTCGGCTGAGCGGGATACAGCAGTGCAACAGGGCCGTCTCATTCGAGTTTTAGGAATTCGAAGTATTTCAATAAAGAAAGTAGGAGAGGTTGGCAATCCTATCCTTAAATTTCGATGTGTTTTTGATCTCATGGGCTTCATATTTGAGGGGTCTCTTTCTTCGTACGCGAGTTTGTGCCAGCCACGTAGATATCTATCTTACGCGACTAATATACTCGAGAATCGCTCAAGCACCAACTATTAGATAAGAAATGTCCGTATAATGTTAGTAATGCGCTTACGTACAAGAAACAAGTGAACACATCGAATAGTTGAGAGTACGTTAGGACAGCGGAGAGACAATCGATTGTAGAATAGATGTCACACATTCCCGCACTCGCCTTATATAACATGGTTTCCCGCTCGATCATGGCGCACGTGATATTTCGCTCGGGAACAGTAGGACGGCTTGTAAGATGGCTTGCCGTCAATATTAATTCCAAAGGGACTAGCGCATCCATCTCACTACGAGAACCTTCTTGCTGACCTACTTACATTTTAATTTTTCAGTCAATTAAGTAATTATTGATTAGCCTTGTTACTATGAATTTACCTAGAAACTCTAACTATTTCAGGATAAGCTCAGCACCAAACACGGTGACGACCTTCTCTGACGGTTTGTGTTTGGATGAAATCTCTAGTTTTTCTTTGAAAAGCTTCCCAGGCTATAAAGGAAGCTAGCTGTCCGCAGCCCAGAGCATTATGAAACACAAGTAAATTCCCCTATTACAGGCTCTGCCCAAGGATCGAATATGATGCCAATGTTGCAGTCTGGAGATTCTTCATTTTTCTCCTTGCCTGATCAACCACTCCTACCATTACCACAACAAATGCTTCCGTACGGTTATCCCCTACTTCCATACCTCTACGTAAGTTACACTTTCACATTTTTATACTACAAAAGCGACAAATACAAACACTACCTTTTTTACAAATAAAGACAAATACAAATACTACAAATACTACATTTTTTCTGCAAAAGGAGGGGATTAGATGGATCGGCAATGGCAACTGTTGTAGCTCCAGAGGTGGTTTGTACCATGGCTACATAATCTACGGGCATTCCACTATGACAGCACATCATTTCTGAGCGTTACCTTCTTCATATCGAACTAAAAAAATGCGTTCTAGTATCCCGGTCTCTTCCGACGTCCACGAGTGGAAGTGAGACAAAGAGTACGCAACTATGCTAGAGGTAAGTCATTTGTACCAGTATTGTTCTCTGCACAGCAGCTGTTCAGTGAGTCAGTGAAATAATTATATTTTGCATGACACAAAGAAGAGATGAAAGAGGAGCCATGTATATCACCTTCATCGAAATCGAACCTTTCATGGACATTAGCCTCACTGGCTGCTTCTTAGTCGACGATTCTGCCCGCGAGCGAGCGAGCGACCGATCGAGAGACCGAGCTAGCGAGCGACGGGAGGCGGCGCTTGCCGCTCGTTTACAGCTGAATCTTGGTCGATACAGCAGGACGAGTAGGTCTCCTGTCGCTCGCTCGCTCGCTCGTTCGCGGGCAGAATCGCCGACTATGAAAGCAGCCACTGGATGTACCTACAATAATCGTTACTTTGGTTTTCAGAAACAGGCCAAGTAAGGGAGACAGCGTATCGTATGCTGCCATACTTACTACGCAATAAAATGTATCGAGATATGATGGCCGCCAAGAAAACAGCCCGAGTACACAAGAAACTTACAAGAAGCAAAAACTGATTCAGTTTATTCAATGGTGAATCTCTCGTGTCATTTCTATCAGTCTTCAGCAAGCTCATACTAAGAAGTAATAGGAGACCTTTTTTTCCAAGAACTTTCGATTATGTGCTTCTGTGATCCATTTTCTCGGAGGATGTTTGTAACGAATTTCGAATAAATAAACTTCATTCTCTAGTAATCATCAAATCATCAAAATTCGAAAGGGTTCTTGCTAGAATATGTTCTCGTCAGAAAGCTGTATATAAATTGGATAGGAATGACGTAACTTCCTCATAGATGACCACCATAAGTGGCTTTAAATCAGCCGAATACATGCTCTAGAGCAAGTTCGTTGCCTCCTGCCCCAGCCCCCCGCACAAAAAAAAAGAGATCGACGCCTATCACTATAATCAGAGTGAACGATCGCAAAGGCGGAAAGTGTCAAAGTGAGAGTAAAAAAAATGAAATCAATCATACCCAAAAATTTGATAAAACCTGAATAATCATTGGATTACTAAGAAATATAATGTAACAAGTTATTTACTAAGATAAGTGGGTGCTTCCACTGAACACATCATCTATGTATGAACGCTGAGTAAAAAGAGAACACTGAAGTGTATTCTTCGCACTTCTAAACTCACCATCATTCAGTTCTTTCATTGTAATTGAACGAGGCGGGAAAGGCTGGAATGACCTAACTTCCCAGTCTTTTGACTGGCCATAAAATAATAGTACCTAGAGTAAAGGAGCCATAATTGTAAGACGTCTGCAGGGCTGATTTAGGTCATCCTTCAGGGTTGCTCCTCTTTGTGGCATCTGGAAGAACTAAAAAAATAAACTAAAACAATACGCAATCATCTGATAGTATCAGTGCCGGTTACACCCAAATTTAGAGACTTTTTGATTCAAAAAAGACACCAAAGATAGGTATTTACATGTAGCCCAGTATCGATATTAACTATCCCAGTCGAATCTGCCACTACCCTTAGTGTCATTTGCTTTCTTTACGAATGAACATCAATTCCGGTAGTATTGGTTGTGCTCTTCAAAATCGAAAACTTTTCCCGGGAAACCTGTAGGGAATAGACTCTAGCATGACAGCGATTGGCAATTGGTTACTAGTTGTTTCGGGTTACTCGAAACCACTACCTGAGCAACCAGTGCACTACCTGACCCTGCCGAATTTCATTGATGGCCATCAGCCACTGAAAGAAGAGAGAAGAAGGAGGCAATGGAGCCTGTTTTCCACTTGGCAGGTAGCACTTACAACAACAACTTTGCAGAGACACAACACGATCTATAAGAGATTTTCTTGGCTCAAAGTGAAGCAGATAGCAGAGGAGATGGTTCAGTGGAGCGCTGTTACAATGCAATCATAGTCATAGCTTCACAAACTTTAGAAGAGTAACGAGTTCTGAAGAGGATCGGAGCGTAACCCGTACTTAAGTACGTCTAATTAATGTTGCGCTAACGTAGAAGGTGCTTTATAACTAAGCGGATGCCATTCTTTTCAAATTAGGTAATTATAAAAAGAGCAGAAAAACCCCTGTGTTGCGTAATTGAATGAGTTCAAACGGAGCGGATGGAAATCATTGGCGTGGCGGAACGTAAATGGAAAAACTATCCTCTTTTCAATGTACAACAGAGTTCAAACGACTTTTTATCCCCGCTTGTCCCAAGTGGTGTAGTCGAGATTTCTCCTCAATCATTGCATTAGCGCAAGTATAAATAGCTCTGTTCTATTGAATCTTGTCAAACACATTGAGCCGTCATGGTTGATTCCAGCTCCGTCGTGCTCCTAGTCATCAGCGTCATTCTACAGTCAGTCGTATGGTTCTTATAAATGTTTTTATATCATCAGATAAATATAGATAGCTACTTCATGGCTTTTAACTGAAAGTGGTGGACCGCGAAGTACGAAAAAGGCCCAGGCAGGTTCCAGAGTATCCTCAACTCCGTCGTGTCGGAGGGGTATAGTTTCACAAGCGAAGATGTGCCCTTACTGGTCCTATGGAATGATTCCACCAGAAAAAATCTAAGCCAGAAGGGGGGGGGGGGGNGGGGGGGGGGGGATAGGGTGCCCATTGACGAGAAACCAACCTCGCTGCTGGTTCCATGAATCACGTAAGCAGCGTTCACAGGACCCAATTAAAATTCTGTGGAATCTGAGATTTTCGCGAGGTTCCTCCTTTGTAGAAACCAGTTAGACCCTCCAATTCCTCTGACTATAAAAATTTTCGACCTTTCCTTCCCTTCTATGCTCTTTCTGACATTCGAGTTATAGACAAACGGAAACAAACAACCCAATAGAGATTTCTCCCGTTGGATGGATTGAGGAAGGGGGTGGGGGACCTAATGAGTGCGCCGCATTGTTCTTTCCAACGCCACCAATCCCTGACTACTCCTAATCCCTCTCGATCGTAAAGTGATGATAAAACTCAACTAATAGTGCTCCCCTTGTACTTGACAAAGGATGATCCTGGTCATTTCAGCTCTTGCACAGCTGCGCCGCAATACTTTGGAGGTGGGCTTATTTTTTATCCTAAATAGTTATGCAGGGAAGCAGAATGTGGTGAGAAACAAGAACAACGTCACTGCTCTTCTGGGGGAAGAAATCTGAAAGCGTTGAAGCTTGAAACATTCTCCGGGAGCACCAGATTTTCGGACTTCCAGATTAGATTAGAATGATGGCCAGGATTAGGTTCCCTGGCTATTATACGAAGTGATCCACTAAGGGCCCTAAAACAACCTTTTTCAGGATTTGGACGACCCGGCTTTCCGGGGAATGGCTTTTCGCCGACATCGGCTAATAATATAAACGTGAATGTTGTTACAGGTGGAATTCCCAGCTCGGGTATGTCTCCGTTCGGAGGATCTCTTTTTCCTTACTTAATGGTAAGTTCTAGTACTACTTACTCTCCAAAACCACATTTACTATCATACAAGTGACCATCTGCTCACTGAAAGTAGAGCAAGAGTACAGAGGCATCATGAAGTTCCCAGGTATCTGAGATGGATTCCGGCTAGACCGTCTCTCTTCTTCAACCGTTCAGAAGATCCAGTTTGCCTGAGCTCTAGCTTAGGCTGTGGATACCCAAGTAGTTCAGTGTAACTTGCGAAATTTGAGGAAGCGAATGAATCTAGAAGGGCTGTCAGCCACTCAATTTCATCTTCCCATTTTTCGCCCAGTGTCTTGCAATCGGAATTTAATCCTGACACCATCAGAAATTCAATTTCGACTACACTCCAACTTCCAACGGCTCAGCGTGAAATAAGTTTTTTCAGCTCCCTAATTCAATGGATTCTTTCTCTCGTCCCAACATAGAAATGCGCAGCTTTTCGCATTCTTATGCTCGAGGTATCCTTTTTTCGTTACTGATTGGATTTTTCTCATTTTCAGTTGATTCTAACTTAATTTTTTAAGAGTGAATAGGGTAGTGCTCTTTCCCCCACTCCATTTCCTCTATTGGTATTCTTGTTCCTGTTTTTACCCACTCACCCTACCCTCCATTCTCCAACTTATGATCTTTTCTAATTCTTGATTTTGAAATTTTTTTCCAGAAATGGGTAACACTCGAGCTTCAATGGCACGTTCTTTCTACAACTCTCCCTATATGCTTCACGCAAAAGCATATCAACAACTGATGAATAAGAAAGCTGCCAAAGAAAAATAAGCCATAATTAATCCTTTACACCTAGGAAAAAAGTGGAGATGAAATAAATCTCTGAATGTTTTTTTCGGCTATTTGATTGTTTCCATGTAACATAGCCTATTCTAATTGAATATGTATCATTTTATAAATGTTTACCTACTCCTGTTTGTTTACTTTACAACAAAAAACTGCAAGCACAGTTACTACAGAAATTTGTGGTTTTATAGCGCTGAACGTTGGAACGTCGCAGAGGACGACGAATCTCTCTTGCGCGGAACAGCGTGCACTCGGAAGTGCAAATCGCCCATTTCAGTTGTCCAACAAAAAGATTTTAAAAAAACTCTATTTTTTAGATAACAGCTCGCTGAGCCTCGTTTTTTGTTCGGAACCGGTTCCTTTGCAATGGGTTCACTTGACCCTGAACCTTGATTGCATTCATTCGTGGCAGAGGTATGCCGTCGAAAGGATCTGTAGATCAGCTGCTCCAACTAAGGACCAGCGACGATCAGCTTCAGGATTGCATAAATGTCTGAACCTTGCATGACTTATGTTGATGCAGGGGTGTTTTGTTTGAAGTCACCCTTCGGGAGCCCTGGGGGGCTCCCTTCATGTCTGGAAGGTTATTTTTGTTAACAATGACACAAAGGGAATTTTCACAGCCATATCCTCACAAAANAAAATTTGGAAAATTAGCTTCGCAGCCATAAAATATTTTTATTGATTGTAATGAATAGTAATATATTGGTATCGTTCAGTCAAATGTGAGAAAAAATGGGTTTGCGAGAGATTAGAATATAAAATCGTCTGACAACATTGCTTCTAAGCGGACCGCGGCGGTGACTATGAAGCTCGGACTTCTTCTGTCCTTCGTATTCTTTCTCATCCTCCAGGTCATGTTCATCAATTTTTCAATTTTTTTTGCTACTTATTCTTCCCTTTGGTGAGGTTTTGTAAGGTAGGAGGATTTTTACGTGAGAAATTTCAACATTGCGTGTAAGGTGACGCTTGCAAAAAATCGCTCTGAAAAGAGTTTAGGAAGTTCATTCTGGCATTATTGCAGCTATTCGTTATTGTAGCGACTGAGCTCTCTCGATATCAACCAGAGCTTGATGCTCAAAAAAGAAGAAAATAGAAAGTCTATCACATCCTGTTTTTCTTTCCCCCTACTCAATTTGCCATTTCAGCTCGAGGCTCGTCTGTATCCCAGTTTTCAACAGTCGAAAGCAGTAAGCAACCGACGAAACCACTACACAAATAAGGATTATACGGGATTGAAAAGGGTCAAACGAGGACAGGAACCCCTGCCCACGCAGAATTCCCCAACAACTGGAAAACCTGAAGTTCAGGTTGATTCGATGCAGAATACGCAATTCTCTGTCTCTGGATCCGAAGAAATCGTGGCTGACGAAAGTGTTAGCTACGAAATGAGCCCTACTGAAATGCAAATATCCATGGGACAGCCTCAGGAAATAGTGACCAGTCGCAAGATCATTCAGTACGTGAGCCCTGACAACATGCAATTCTCTATGGGAACTCCTGGTGGAAATGAGACCAACACACAAGTCTTCACTTATCAGATGAATCCTGGTACACTAGTTAGACGTACAATCAAAGTTGTGACAGAGAAACCCGTCATTCATCGGTACAAAGTGACGTATAATCAGGTAGGCAGCTTTCAGTTTTTGAAATTTCGCCTACATGATGTAATCGGTGTAGGATAGTTCTTGATTTGGGTTGCCCACTTTATTGTATTGAATTTGAGCAACAACAAAGTTTTTCTCTGAAAGGCTCTATCACTGACAAATTAATTTTATCACTGACTTATGTACCTTCAGGGCGGTGGTTTCAATCCGGCAGATCTGAAGAAAATGTTGCAAAAGGCTTACGGAGGACAGGTGACGAAAACTATCTGTTCTAGAGGAGTAGACCGAATGATCGCTTTTTATCTTTTCAGGGTTTTACTATACAGCAAAGTGGAATACCTAGCAGTGTTGGAGTTGGGAACCCATCCGGGATGTAGGCTTTAGAATGCCTACTCCAGATGCAACCTAACATTAGCTATTGATGAGAGGTCGAAGCGATTGTTCGAGGTAAATAAAAGGCTTTACTGACGTCTTTTGGCAACTGTATTCAATTACGTATTTACACGAGTACTTTGAGAATAAGAGGAGGTGCCGGAAACCCACAATGATCAGACCCAGATCATAAATCGTCCCTTCTTCTCGAACACTGCCATGAAATCTATCCTCCGAATACTCTGCTCTATAGAAGGAACCTCAGCTCTCGAACATTACCAGCAATTGAACTTTTTGACAGTAACGGATGCCAAAAGTCTTCTCAAATCTAATTGTCTGTTTTGCAAAACTAGCCGGCGAAGGACGCACAGTTAGTAAAGTGAATCGCGAGATTTATTACTCAAACTAAAATATTGAAAACTAGCTCATCATGACAGTATTTCTCATGATTTCTCACTGCTCCAGTCAGTGGATAGCTCTCCACCCACTCGAGGTTTTTTGAGATTGGAGCCTGTGTATGAGATTAGCCACTAGGATCGCTGTAACTATTCAACAAAAGCTGTATTGAAGTGTTCACCTGGAAAGATCCACAACGTATCCATCCTGCAAAAAAACTTCTTGATCATAGTAAATTATTATGAATTATTACCCTTTATTCATCTTTATCACTTTTATACGTGGCATAGAAAGACTTTACAAACAACTTTGTATAGCTATCAACTGCTAACAATGACTACTTGGTTTTTCAATGAATCGAAATTCTCGGTATAGGCCTGTCGGTTTTGGATGAGCCCTGACTCCACTGGTTGCGGAGCGCGTCGAACACTTTGTTATAGTCCATGTGAAGACTTAGGTCGACAGCAGAGCGAATCTGATTCTGGACGTTTTTACGATGATACCACAGAACTAAGGGTAGGACCAGAGCGTAGAGGTACTGGAGGCTGCTTCCTGAAAGTTGATGGCGTAAAAAATGTAATAGAACGAGTAACTAGACACATAGTCTAAGCGTCACACGACAGATCATCCGAGCACAGATTAAGGATACACGAATTTTGGCTTCTGACACTACTCTGGGGAAGTCTTCTCAATGACGCAGTTTCTTTCTCTTCTTCCTACCCTAGACTGGGGTCTGGGATGGGAGAGGGCGAGTAGGAAAACCTATACCATAAAGAGATCCCGGGGATTCAATGGAGAGAGAGAGTGTCGCTGACCCACTCTCTCCATCCAATCCCCGGGATCTCTCTATGGTATAAGTTCTCCTACTTCGAGGAACAGTGAAAGCTGGTTACTGAAAAAAGCATCTGGCTACGGTTTCCATGAAGGACACGGAACGATCCGAAATGGGAGTTTAAGAACTTACCATCTACCAAAGCATAATATGTGGGTACTGTGAAGAGGTGGTTGTTGTAAATCACAACACCGACAGCAGTAAGGTACGTAGCGGTAAAAATCGCATTAGTATAAACATAGACTTTTAACGATTTGATTGTCCTGAAATTATTCGAATTCATAACGTCATTTGGATTTTTCAAATCCAATAGGGAAAAGAAATATTCAACTCGATTTTCGCTATTGAAAACTACCGCAATCTATTAAAAGAAAGACAGTACTATAACAAACCATGAATTTTCTTCGTTCTGATAGCGGCAGGAGAGATTACCGCCCACCGTCGAATAACGCTGGAAAGTTAGCCATTGACAAATTTTTTAACAATATAAAATGTGAAAAAAAGAAAAATTCATAAACCGAGCGGAACTAACCCTATTTTTCTTATAGGCCAGCTCGAAAATCCCGACAGCAAGAAGCTGCATAATGAACATTACAGAAAATGGATATATCGTCCACATAAAGTTTGATGTCGATGTCGTTTGGCAGTAGTAGAGTGGATTCTGGTTGATTTTTGTTTGAGAATAGATTACACTGAGAAGAATGCTGCCAACTAGCACCTGAAAGCAATCTTACTATGAGTGTGAGCAAAATAAGATGCTTGAGAGAGGGTAATTATGGAAAAATGTGAAACCACATTGCCCACAGGAGCAAGGTCTTGTTGGCTCCTCGTCTATTCTAACCACGGATGACATAGCTACTGATAGGCAGGATCATGTTCCTTTGCTGGAATTTTTCCACTTCCCTGATGAGCTGTCATCAACTTTCGCAATCCACAAAGGTCATTCAGCTCACGCGCTGGGGGCTGGTGATGGAGCTGACGTCCATTTCACAATAACCCTCAAGTATTACCACAGACAATTATTCAATCTCGAAACTCTTTGAAAAATTAATCAAATCACAGGCGAGGGCAAACTAAAACAAGAAAAATCGTGAATCGGTGGTTCCCTCTAGACGACGATCCATTAACTCTCGGTTCTGATAAGTTTTTTCACGTTGTTGAACATCGTGCTGCTCGGAATAGGCAACGTTTGGTAGGGCACTTATGATAGTGCAACTCATTAGTTAGTGGTTATTTGGTACCAATACGTCTGGGGGCATCAAAACATCAGCTGGCCCCCGCAAGTTATTGTGTAGGCTACATTCGCATTCATACGTCACTAGGATTCTAATGAAAGTCGAGTGCAGAACGCATCCCTCAATGGGCTGATTAACGCCCGAAGACGTCAACCTTTGTTTCCTTCACGCTTCAAAAAGGCGCTTCTAGTAGTGACTGTTGTCTTTAGGAAAACGGCTAGGAGAGGAAACAGCTTTAGGGCCGTAATATCGCAAAAGGCAATGTCTGATTCTCAAAGGCACAGTTCGCGACAAAAATGGTTCCGAGATTCCTCCATAAGATAAATTTGAGGCTCTCTTTTAAACCATATGTGGCGCTAATAGGTTAGAAAACGGCCTATTTAAGGCGTTGTAAATGCTCGAAGATTGTCTACCCTTGGACGAGTTTCACCGGCATTGTAGAGGCTGCACCGATCACAAGGGAACCCATAAAGGAAGTCCAAACATCTTGTCATGACTCATAGTGACCGTGAAAGAGAGTTTTGTACAGTTCTGGTTTGTTGGAGTCAGCTCTTTGTGCAATTGCGATAGCTGAGATCTCNGTCCAACCTCTACTTTCCCTACTTTTGAGGAGCCATATTTTTCTCGAAGTCAGCGAATTGCCTCGCTTCCTTCACTACCGATGAACTATTCCCAATATATACCTCCGCTTTTCGAATAGAAACGAGTAGCTCAAAATCATCGTGCACTACGCCTTTAAATAACGGATGAGTAGAGGTATTGTAAAGCTGTTGTGCCTAATCATTACAATGGTGACTTAGTGCAGAATAATATAATATATGAGGCATGATGTGAAATGATGATTTTTGATAAGTCTACCTGCAGAAGCATCAAAGTATAACCGATGTTTTTGTATCCATGCTCATATGTTTTTGTTTTCAAAGTGGCTATGAGACGTTCAATTGATACAAAAATCGCCGAACAATTCGAAATCACCAAGGCAACGTTGAATGGAAGACGTAGAAAAAAACATCTAAAATGAAACGTTCACAAAAATTCCACAGAAAGCAAAAATTATCCACAGAAATCCACAGAAAAAATTAAAAATTGTAAAAATTCATCTCAAAGCTGGAACTGGTAAATCGCTTCTGAAATGACACTGGAACTGGATCAGTGGGTCCGCTCTTCCTATACCCGATTTCCCTACATCTTGTAGACAATCAATAAACCCGAGAGTGATTCGGGTTTCGCTGAGCGAACCGTGACTGATCAGCCCCCGGCCTTCAGGAACTACGACTCTCGAATCAAATCATGATAGCTTATCCTTTATATCTAGAAGCTTTACTGGCTTCTCAAGTGATCTGCACAAAACCGACCTAATGTCACACCTATATTTACTACCAATTTCTGAGCTGCAGGCGTATCTGACTAACAGAATTTCAATACTACTGACATTTACCAACCCTGAACTACATGCAGTTGCTCTTGCTGCTTGATCCCTTGTTCGAATGAGGGTTACAGCCCCTTTCTACTGTTCCTCTCCCTCCCGCTAAATTACCGATTCCATACTGCTCCCTAGCATTTCCCCTTCAAACCTTCTTCATATCGGATAAATCTGCGGTTCAACAACAAAGAAAACAGCACAAACTTCAATATAGCCGTAACGAGGTGGTGCTTAGTGAGTGACTGTACTTGTTGGTCTTTGCGGGCGATAAATAAACCATTTTGAAAGCTTACCCAGCTCTCGTGTGCAGAATTTGGCAACCATTTTGGAAAGGCGTTAAGTATGTAATAATATCCGTTGTGTGTAGAACGGATCTGAAACGAACTTTTCCGAATTTCGGCAAGACTATGGTGATAATGGTCTTCCATTAACCACTGCGACATTTTTGTAGCAACATTCTCCATTTGGGGAACCCCTCTTTTGTCTGTGGGCGGATCTATCTGAACGAATTCGGTTGGTCAAGCCACTGAGGACTTAAATACTATATGTTGTTCATCCTACCAGTAGCTCTAGAACGGGAATCAGTCAACGGGTTCTTATGGTAAGAAAGCACTCCCTAAAGAGAGTATAAGATTCTACAGATTGGATGCAATGATACAATTACTGCTTCCACTTCATCTTGACCAGGTAGAAGAGGGCCAACCCATGGCTCATGGCATCCCTGCCACCTTTGGAGAGGGGTTTTCATATTTTTCTAAATCATCTTTAATTCACCTTCCGATCACATGCACCAATAACCAGAACAGATGGAAACAGAGGAGAAGTCTTGTGTTGAAGTGCATAAGCTTCATGTTCCAAATTTTTCGTATCCAATAGCTCAGAATCGGAATGGAAGCGAAGCAACACAAGTCGCAAGAGAATAATGAAGCGAGTAGGAAAGGAGAGCGAGCCATTTGCTCCATAGTATGCAAATTTTTCGTATCCAATAGCTCAGAATCGGAATGGAAGCGAAGCAACACAAGTCGCAAAAGAATAATCAAATTTTTCGTATCCAATAGCTCAGAATCGGAATGGAAGCGAAGCAACACAAGTCGCAAAAGAATAATGAAGCGAGTAGGAAAGCCAAATTTTTCGTATCCAATAGCTCAGAATCGGAATGGAAGCGAAGCAACACAAGTCGCAAAAGAATAATGAAGCGAGTAGGAAAGGAGAGCGAGCCATTTGCTCCATAGTATGGCACTCTATAGAGGACGTACTCATCTGAAATAGTCGCTTTTTATGGTTATTGTGGTCATTCATCGGAATCGGATAGTAGCGTTCAAAAAAGAGAGAGAAGGTTCAATAAGGCCAAAGGTACCGATCTAACTTCTACACCAGTGGTGAATAGGTTCTCCATCATTGCAGTAGCTGTTCAAAGAGGAAAAAATGAGAAAAACGGGAGAAAAAACGGAAAAGACTCAAAAAGGTTCCAAAAATCACCGAACAACGAACAAGTATTATTAT